CGCTCGTAAAGATCGAGTTCTTCTGGACGATAAAAATGCGAAAGACAAGAACAAATATTTTTTGTTGTTGTTTAACTTGACTATCAATCTATAGAAGTTTTTGATGCAACAATAATGTTGCTCGCTTTGCTTGCTCGACAAAAGTAAATTTATGGCGTCACTGTTAAAGCTATTTGTTGATACCTGAAGTGGAACAGTTTTGTCCTTTTACGTATAACCCGAAACGTTGCTGCTAAGATCATTTTGCTTTTCTATTTTAGCGATTTTATATATGGGAATAGGAAAGTGGATGTTTTTGAAATTTAATTCATCATCCATGTTGTACGTTGTTGTTCCTTCTGTATGAACTTGGTACTTTGCTTTGGCTTCAATAAAGCGCTTGATCTTGGGGTGTAAACTCTCAAAGGGGTTTGCAGACACCACTTGATCCATTCATTGTCCTCATTTTTAGCGTTAACAATGGCTTTTTTAATCTTAATCTGTTAATGGTCCATAACCGGTGGTGTTAATAAAAAGGCAATAATTAATTTTAATTAAAAACATAAGACCTTTTCATTTTAATTAAAATCCTGGTATCAACCCCGCTGGGATTAATGGCTCCACATATATCAACAAATATTATGGTCATTATTTTTCAAATAAAATTTGACAAAGATTTCAAATAATCTTCTCCCCAGGCATACACCACAGGCCTGTAGACTCCCATTGGCCAGACTCCAACTACTGCAGAGTAAGGAGTGTTGTAAGATCAGTAACCCCAAGATGCCCATATGACCGGGAAATGGCAAGTAGTAAAAAAATCCACCATGCTGCTCAGAGTTATTTGAGGGGCGTGGCTACAAATGTACTTCCACGGCAGCATGATGAAATGGAGCAAGAGAGGGGACCTGAGGGATGTATTGGCTACCATAAAACAGTCGTGCAGGTTCACTCATGACCAGGAACTCCGGGAACCGATGTGGTGATGATTTCTCTGCGTCCCCAGTTTTTGACGTTACGGCTCGGGGGGATTTAAATTTAACTTTGATCACGGTTTGCAAATAAAAACTTCCGAGCTCTTTACACACAGAAATGAATTTGTCGTATATTTTTTGCTTGCAGTATCTAAAAAAAATTTTGCACGTCTTTGTAAGTTCCTAAGTAAGCATTTTTTTCTCAATTATAACGCGACCTTGGCCTCAAACTGAAACTGGCTTTGAGTTGTTTATTCAAATCGCCCCTGCACCCGGCACGACCATCTTAGGGCGCATGAGGGCGATTAATAAAAGTCGTCGCTCGTCCCACCATCGTCCCCAGTGGTTTCCGCCGCTTTGCCTCCATTATTAGCCTCGAAAAAGGAAACATTCCCCCTATCCCCGATGATGTATCCTGATTTGATGCAAAAACAGCGAGGAAACGATTTATCTTATGTATTTGGTGCTTTTAATTCCAACGTGTCTCACGTCTCCTGTGAATCGTTACATCCACTTTGCTTTTAAGACGGACTCCTGTAAAACAATGGATTCCAGATAGGTGGCAAAATCACCCAAGTAATGGTTAACTGTATAAGGGTGATTTACAGAGTAAGGGGGTTGGTAGATAATAATCAATCGTAATATGATGAAATATTCTTTTTGTTCTTTAACAAGGTTAAAGTGTGCCCGACTTTAACCCTGATCTCATTCTGATTTATATTCGTACATCATCCACGACCTTTCCATATATTTTTAGAAAAGGCCAAAGTGTATTAGACAGACTTCCCACTCCACTACACATAACACGTTCACCTACATTTAAATGGCTATTTGGAGGTGCGCAGATTCTGATTTTTTTCCTGGGAGTCGTGTTTTATGCAAAATAAAAGCAGATTTAGTTCTTGGTTCCCATACAGCAAGGGTTTTTCTTGGTGTACGGGCTGGTTAAGAGGACAGACAATGATGGTCTTTTACTGCTACTCAATGCCTTACGAAGAACATAAATCGGTTACAGTATACTACCTCCATAGTCATTCTGTGCAAGCCTCGTTTATTAGTTGGTTACTGCAGGGGGCAAAGGTAATACCATAAATAGCCGTTTCACGAACTCTTATCAACTGGCCACTTATAGTTATATTGATAACTGCTACAAAGGTCCAGTAAACTATCGGCAAAGACACTTTAAATATATCAAAGGTCTAAATTTACCAAACGCAATTCTATCTCAGTGTTTCATATTTTGGGAACGCTGTTCGTTTCAGTTTCATGACAAAGGAGAATCGGTCTGCCACATTGACTCCTCATGGCGCTGTGGATACTTGAGAACACTTTCTCCATTACGTGGACCCTCGCTATTGGTGCAATTGTGATCTTTTTGCTGTAAGTTCCTTATTTTTGTTAATTTCAACCGTCTCAGTGCAACCAATTATGACCTTTCGTTGTAGCACCAAGTTGGGCAATATTTTGTTCTTGATCAAAATTGTACCTCTATACTGGGTGAACTGTACTTCCGTATGGTTTGAAGTAATTGTAAGTACTATAGCAAGCTGAATCGCGGTCTGAGGACTTTTTAACAGGTAGTGAACTAGGTGGAAAATAAGGTGGACATTGACAGAAGAAGGACGATATATACGCACACTAAATGAACACATCATGGACACCGGTTTACGGTTTGTAGATTCTTCAACTCTTGATTTTCTCCTTTACATGCGATCTTGTAAATCAGTAACAATAACACAGGTTGGAGGCAGTGAAGTACACAACGCTGCATTTTTTTTAAGAGACCTCGGATATTTTATTCGTTGGAGCCGAGAGTGAAAGTGCATCAAGCAGCATTTCCGCGCCAAATCTCGCGCACGTTGCACAGCAACTAAGGCAGATAACGCGCTGAGCACATGGTCCATCCGTGCTTGCTGCAATATGTTTATCTAAACAAATCTATTTATTGTTTAAAGTCCATTCTTCAAAAGCCTATGGATCACATATAATTTTCTTTCCATTGAAAGTGGTTTGGCGGGAAAAAAACAGAATGACCAAACATACATCCTGTGGTGCCTTTTGCCATCCGTTGGCTTGTGTTGTCTTCAGAAAGAAGCGTGAAAATGTCCTTTTATCGGTTCAAAAAAGGTGCAAAATGCCCCCCATCACCTGAACACGAGCCACGCCCCCCAAAAGGACTTTTCCCCTCAAAAATGCAATTACAGCCTGACGGAGAGGGTTACCATCAGATTTATTCAGAAGGAACTAAGAAATCATAATTTATGAGTCCCATTTTATTGCAAAATATGTGTTACCAAGGAATGTTCCGGGTGCCGCATTTTTTTCTTCGTGAGTAAGGTCTAACACGTAAATGTAGATATTTCTGTTTGCAATGCGTTTATTTTTAAATTAAGAAGTTTTTGCTAGTTCACTCAGTATACAGTGTAAACCTCCAACCAACAATGAGCAAGGGAATACTTGTCATCTTCGACATTAAATGTCAAATTAAATGGCGGTATTTAGAACTTTACATGGTTTAAAAGAGGATCTAAAGCTCAATGATCCCCGAGTTGGACCAAAACAGGGCACAATTTTCATAGCAACGACGGCTTTTGTCGAAACTACACTTCCCTGGTTCACATAGGACAATGAAACGCACGCGTTGTAGGCTCGTCGCTACCAACAAAATACTTCCAATCTACATGGTTCTTTCAACCGAGAGGGGTGTTTCTGCTCAGGGCAGAAAGAGCCCTAATGAACAAGGTCACGCAGAGAGCTGCGGATCCCTGCTTGGCCGCCAAAGCAATTTTACAGAGGCCACCTTTTCTCACTGAAAATGTCGAAATGACTGTCATGACGGCATGAGTGCTCATGAGTGAAATTGCGGAAAAGACATCCAAAGATGGGTTAAAAGGAATTCCATGAAAAATCACCTCTGGCATTATCGTTTCCATAGGTCTCCTCATTCGTGTACCTTTCTTTTCCATGCACATAGTTACCTAAATGAGAAGAATGTATAACTTGGTGAAAATGTACCTCACTGCATCTGATGGGTTGTAGATTTAGGCCGGCTGGCATGATATATTTTGTGTCTGCAAAGGTTTAAGTAGACTTCAGAATCATCGTATATGCAGACTATTTTAAAGTCTATTCCAGTAAAAATGTAAACTGCTAAACGTTTTATTTTTTCTCTTTTTATTTTATTATTACACTATATGAATAAAAATAATTTTGTCTACGTAAAATTATAGCTTGTTATAATAGTCATTATGAGTTCTAGAGTTTCTGAAGCGGCAGGTCATGTTTTGCACAGTATTTCTCATTCGTCCCAGGTGATTTTTCAGTTTCAGTAAATATGCCAGTAAATATTTTACAAAGACAGAGTTTGCGGGTGATTTTTTTTGGAAGTAAATGACTGAAAAAAATTAAGAATTTGTAAGCTTCTGCAAGTCATTTTTCCTGTACCAAAAGGTCCCAGAAGTGCGTCATTGGTAGTCAACTTTCAGGCTGTGAAGGAGATTATTTGAAATGTATTTGCTCTTAGTAGTTCTAAGATAATCAATTTAAGCAAGTAATCAAACTTAACTTTGTGTGATATCAATAGACCTAATTGAAAAACAAACCAGGACTTTCAACTTAACTACTTACTTACCGATGAGGGGGAAACATTGTAAATTTCTTCGACTGTGCATGATGGTATATGGATGGATTCAGCCGTCCCCAGAAAAGTAACAATACAGAGTTTAAAACTTCGGCTTGTTTCAGGGAAATGTTATACCCCTAGCCCAAAAGACCAACTTCATTTTATTTTCACAGGTATGACTGGTGGTGCCATCAATATTTCCAGAGGTTGGGGATTCCCGTTGCCCCATACTACCCAGTAATCGGCAATGTCCATGAATGGCTATCAGTAAGTGAAACGAACACCCTAATTATGAACTGTGATTATAATTTCTTAAAATAACCTATCGGGTAATATTCGTTAATAGGGAGTTTTTGCACGCTCACGGTTACGTTTAGCAAACCGGATACGTCACCAGTTGTGTGGTTTCATGACGTCATACGCAGGTCACGAATTCGCTAAACGTACACACAGCACAGATATCTCGCTCGTTACACGTAAGTACAAAGCGCGTCAGAAAATTTCAAGTTTCCAGTTAATTGGAGTTACATTTTTCATGTATTTTTTCATCATGTACAGAGTGAAATTAAATGAATCGCTAACATATACGGGTCGGTTTGGTGGGCTCAAAATCTTTCGAATATAAAAAATATTTGTGTACAAAAAGTCGGTTTCAAGGTGATTTTCCGTTGTCGGAAATAGACTTTGCTTAGATAACAGCCTGTGCTAGCCTTCGCTTTCGTAGCTGTCACTCCTACAGATTTGTTTTACAGAGCCCATAATTAAAAGCTGCCAGGCACTCTTTGAAGGACAGGCTAGAGAAAAGTCACAAGAAGTGCACATGATACATTTTATTCATTACTCAGGCCAATCTTAATGAGTTGGTGCCTGGTGAATTCGTTCATGAATAGGTTTCCCTTACATGTACATAGGTCAGCACTGGTGAGGCCAGGTCTAGACTAGGCCTAGGCAAATACCTGCTAGGTCAATAGCCTGTGTGTGTAGGCTATCAGTGCTATATGGATTAACCACATTTTGGTTAAAATGTATCCCTGATCAGAGGTATGGACTCGGGGAACATCATGGTTCTCTGCCTAATTGTAGGCCTACAGGCATGACAGCAATGCTTGCATACAGAAACCATCAACAATTTATCCTATCAATTGTATGTCAGGATGGTCTCAACGTCAGGCAAAAAAAAACCCATCAACAAGGTTTTACCCAGCCCTTGACATTACGTTCCTCAAGCAAGTGCTTGCTTTTTGGCCCCTCGTAGACATCAACATATTGGAAGTATTGACCAAAAAAATAAATGAAAGCCTTAAACATGGTCCAACCAGATGGCGTTCATAGTGACTACAAGGGGGTGTAAGCTTCGCAAGCTCCTTTCTGCATTCAAAGCAAATGAATTTGCATCACTGAGAGTGTAAGTACCAGTTTAAATTTCCTATGAATGTATAATGCACCTGCCTGAAGCATATCTCTTAAATTTTCAATTTCTTTTGATTTTTTTAGTCTATACATGTACAAAGATGTAAACGCTGTCCCACTTGCCCCCTGAAGCACTCACCCCAGACCAGTTTCCCCAAGTCAAGGACCCATCTTCCCCTAAAAAAAGTAACAATAAACCGTGACCTCAGTTAATAAAAAGTGTAATTTCTCCTCTAATTGCAAGGTGTGTTTAATACGTTTATATACTGTCAGTATGTTGTAGTGGTACTAGTGCCCTTAAAAAAGAAAGTGTTTCGATATGAATTAATTAATGTATCCAGCTCCAAAATTTATTAGTATGTTTGGCATCATCAAGTTCCATTTTTCTGATGAACCAAACCAAAATTAATGTGTTCAATTGCCATTTCGCATAAAAGAAGTCCATCCATTCTTTTTTCAGATGAAGCTAGGGTGCAGACCCCTCCACCCAAAAAGCGCAAGAAGGTTGAAACCACCGAATACATCCAGTACCTGAAGGACAAGTCAGAGAAGGAGTACGCTCTCAAATAGCAGCAGCTTGAGTTTGACCGAGAACGTTTTGAACTGAAGAAGAAAGAACGGCAAGCTAAGCTGAAACATGATTCACAGATAATGTACCTGATGCTGAAACATAACAAAAAAGGAGCTTTATACCAAATGACTTTTCATTTTTGTTGATCGTTTAGTTTTTAAGGCCCAGTTTAGAGTCAACAGTTCATAGTTTTTAAAGCATTGTATTATTCGTAGTGTCAGAGGAACAACGTCATATTATCGACTTCACATTTTTGCAATAACATGCTTTTGTCAGTACAAGTTCAGTAAATAAAGATTGCTTGTTCAATATACATGTGAACAGACGTTTGCAATTTTTATTGCCAAGTCAACTGCACAGAAACCTAGTTTTTTTACTTGAATAAAGTGCATGTAATTGACAAATAATTGCAGTACTGCATATATTCCTACAGCCACTTTTTGAGCATGGCAAAACAAAAAATATTAAACGGAAACACAATCGTGATATGTCGCTCAGAAATGCAAGTGGAAGGGACGGGCTAGATACTTGAGGACTCAGTCCCATCCCAAGCAACCCTTTAAAGCCAATCTTGTGTTATGCATGAACAATAACCTTAAGATCTACCCTGCAATCCAGGCAGTCACTGACTGTAATTCAATCTTGGTTGTACAGGAGTTCCTCTTCAAGACAAGCATTTCATTCATGAAACAAATTTCACTTCTGCAATATGTAGAGAGTGATTTTAGATCAAATACTCTTCCAATCGGGGGGTGAGATGCTATCCAAAAAAATAGATGTCTCGCTGCCCTACAGACATGTGTGGCAGTTGGTGAACAATCCTCCTATCACGTAGTATTTTGCGATTGGCTGCAAAAGTAATTTCAAGTTCTTCTTGAAGTCAAGAATGGCCCAAAGAGTCAGGATCTTCCGGCATCCCCACTCCACACACTTTCTAACAGTGGACATTCGCTGATTGAACAGCTACTGCATGGGAGTAATGTGTGCTCCTTTGAATGGACCCTAAAGATTGTGATGTGTTGTGTATGCTGCATCTCCATCCAGACAAAATGGATGTCCATTGCTGTCATACAGGGGCATGACACCAAGCTGATCCAGAAGGCTACTCATTCGTAGGAGGGCGCAGTCATGCCTACAGCCTTCCACTGGCCAATATAGGTTTGCAATGATACCATTGGGTAGCATGAAGGATTGGTATTTAAGATCATGTACTCTTTTGTGTTCATTGAAGCAGATGCGTTAATTCTGGGTTGGTTGGCACATTAGTCTTATTGTCTCATCAATGAATCCTATGCAATGTCTGAGAGGAGCTCCTTGCTCCTGAATGGCATCTGTGTATCTCTGTAGCATTTCACCTTGCAACCAAGGAAGTGTCGAAAGCGAGCATGAAAGAAGTTGACTGTTTCCTTCATAACGAGCGATAGGGTTGACTTGGGACGTCCAAAAATCCTTTCAGGGTCTGATAATCTGTTGGGGTAGGCAATCGTCGGAGCGTGATACATAAAGCATCCACATACCTGATGTCACAGTCGGGTTCTGGCATACTATAGACTACAGAATTCCCAATGCTGCATGGAGCCGATGAAGTTTCTCACGGTCAAAACGAAACATATCCAGACACTGATCATCTGTCAGTGCTTCTAGAGAAAATTTGCTTAAGATAAGTTCATATGTCACTCTTCCTGCACTAGTCCCAGCACCAGATTCGAATAAAAAAAACATTGTTTCTTCGTCATTTTCTTCCAAAGCCATAAACATAAGCTCGTCGATGGAGGCTGCCGCTCCAATGTTGAATTTCTTCTGTCACAGCGCCACAATACGTTGGGATTGCGAAACAGCGTGTTGATCGTTAAGGATAAGGATAGCTAAACGTATGCGTACGCGTGTCCCTTTGCGTGCGAAGCCTTGCTAATTGAAAAAAAAAGGAAATTCATCCAATAATGATTATCATGGAAAGTCATACTACAGTGGTTTCAGCAAGGTAAAGCAATTTTTGATATACTGATGTTGGTCATTAGTAATTGTAATGCAATTTTCAAATCCAATGCAGAAAGGAAATAACAACTTTGGTGAAGAATGCGTCAGGAAATACGGGAAAGTCGTTGGGTAAGAATCAAGTAATTTTCAAAGCATTCATGACAGTTAATGAAATTCCCGATCTCCACCCTATAACTGCACCAAATTGGTGCTCTTTAATGCATCTGCTTCCTTTGGGATGCATGTATTTTTGTTCATACGTTTCTAGATTTTGATACTTGTACATTTACTGTGACTAATCCTGCTACAGTAATGCCGCCTTGTGGGCGATAAATAATTTTTGGAAAGGATGGGTTTGAGAGGGGAATGTTAATTTATTTGTTGAGTTTTTACCTTGCCTGACGTCCATTGTAACACTGTATGCTCAGTGTTTCCCCCGAGAGCGCGTGAAAAAACCACAAGTTTTGCTCAGGTGGGACTCCAACCCACGACTTCCTGCTTCCTGGAAATATAAATAGTTGTATGCGGTACCCACTGCTACATCTGACTCGAACCAGCCTGTATACACCAGCAACCTTGGTGGTCGAGTGGTTAAGATTTTTGCACTAATAAACAGGAAGTCGTGGGTTCGAGTCCCAGTCAAGCACTCTTGTGTTTTTGTTTATTTGGTTTTTTCCCACAAGCTTTCGGGCAAACACTAAGTATACATGTACAATGTTAAAATATACGTTGGGCAGGGCAAAAAGCCCAAAATTACATTAACTTTTTGGGGGGTTACAGAATAATATAATAATAAAGACTTGTAATATGCGCATATCCACCCGCGAGTTTTGGGGGTTTTTTTGTTTTGTTCGGGTATCATTGCAGTCTCACTAAAAAGTAAAGTGACGCTTAGACAGCATATTAATGAAGATGTTGAATACAGTTTCTCATTTCCTTTTCAGAATATACAAATTGCGCTCCCCGCTTCTCTACGTGTCGGATATAGGCATCGTGAAAAAGGTTCTGGTTACCGACTTCAGTAAATTTCCAAATCATTGGGTAAGAAAGAACAACCAACCCAACCCAACAAAACCTAAAAACCAAATCTGACACAATACACAAACGTGGGGGCCTGCGCATGCAAGCATTCAAGGACTTTCAGTTGATGTCAAACAATTAAGTTTCTACATTGTGACATGCCTATTCTTTCCTTATTGTATGCGATTGTGAATCTCATGCTCTGAATATGGCTATTTATTATTCATTGAGTTTACATGGGGGTTACCCGTTGGCCTTGGGAGTTGTGCAGACACTGGCAAAACTTCCCGAGGAGGACTCCATATGGATGATGTTAAGTAAAGAAACCAAAACCAAAGAAATTGCAGGTCGCATACAATTTGTGTTCATTCCCAGATGTCAAGGAAAGGGTGGTCACTGAGGAGCAAGGTAATTCAAAGCGGGACAGGCACGAGCTCTTGTGCATCCCGCTTCCTTGTTCTGCCACAGTCTGCACAATTGTTGTATTGACCTTTTTCTTTTGTTCCCCCTAAATCAACTATGTTTGGTAACAGGACATCCCAGCATTAGGTTTCCCGCTGGACAAGGCTTTAACGTACATGAAAGGTCAGCGATGGAAAGACGCTCGTGCAATCGTAACTGCGTCTTTCACGGCAAACAAGCTGAAGCAGGTAAATCGCACCAACCACCTGTTCCGTTCCTGAGACGAAAGACCTATGTGTAAATGTATGTTATATGCTGGCGATCTACCCCCTATTCTACTTGTGGTGATCAGTCACACTTATTTACAGTAATCGTGCACTCAACAAAATATCTGACAGCGCAGCCTAGAAAAGTTAATTATGTGCGTACAAAGGCGACAAGCCTTGTTGCCTGAAACTGAGGTATATTGCCGTTGTTCTCCACAAATATAGATGGTGGATATATTCAACGACATCTGTGACCCTCTACTTGAAAACATCGAAAACGCCCACCTCCAAAACAAACCAATCGACGCAAAGAAGTAAGTATGCTTACGTCAACACTGGTTGCTGTTTGTACTATCGCCACCAAGTGTATCGTGGCAATGGGGATGCTCTACCTGATTGAAATCGAACAACCGACCGACCGGTCAACCGACTAACTGACCATACCACAGACTGACTGTCAGAATAACCTTTTGACTGATCAAAAATAAACGAATAAAAATAAACAATAAAGGTTGATTTAGGGTTTAATATTGTCGCATATTTAGTTTTATTGCCAACATCGCCTTTTCATCAGTAGGATTTTTTATGAAAACATTATGCAAAACCGGGTTTTTTTGTAATTGTGTCCTTTGCTCCGGCAAAATAATAGGAAAACGTTGCTTGAGAACATTGATCTTGTTGACGATAATCTAAATGAACTGGATGCATATACATACTAATATTCTCGCTGGTCAGCTTAGATTGTTAGTCAAACGGTTAACCAGGCAACCTCCATTTTGAAACGCAACCAACATTTCATCAGTTAAGTCAATATTTTGTTGTACAGTCCAAAATCCATGGAGTATTGAACAATGGAAAGATATCCAAATACAGAGATACATCTGTAGATTTATTTGCAGCTTTACCCGTCTGTAATGACATTTGACCATTGTCCCACTTATCTGTTTCAAAAAAAGGAATGATATCTCGAAATATATATCGCCTGCAAGGAAAATTGTATCATTGCTTTGGGATTGAAAGTTAACATTGTAGGCTATTCAGCCAGGTGTGTTGTGTTCAAATTTTTTGTTTTCCTTATGCTGTGGAACGATACAGTTTTGGAAACATTTTTCATGCAACATTAGAAAGCCAATGTTTCCATTAACTCAGAAACATGCATGGTGGAAATCTTGAACTTCTATTTTCCAAAATGGCCCCCATCAAAACTGTCCATCGCATACCTTGCCTTCTAGATGACCTAAGACCTTGACTTCTGCGTGCACTGTTATTCATGAAACTGAGCTACCCATGGCAAATAACGCTTTATGAACAGCAGTCATCTTGAAGTGCCACAAAATGGAGGCAGTTTTGAACAGGGTTATTCAACAAAGCATCCCCCTAGACAGCCTAGTTCCTCCATTCTCTGGGTATTCCGACATTTTTTGGTCCAAAGCTCAGATTGAGCAATCAGAAATTCAACAGCGATCGCTACAACTATAGAGGAAGGACACAGAAGGGGCTGCAACTCAGGCACTTCAAAGTGTTCAATGACGGTCGCTGCCGAGTCAGACAAATAATAGAAAACATTCCAAAATGCCTGATTACTGCCTGCATCATAGCAGGACAAGTTGGGCCAGTAATATCCTAGCAATAGTTGTAGTTTTTGCTTGCAACTAAATACAAATTATTGCTGTGACCAGGAAATACAGAGAG